ACACCGATCAGTGATCTTTTCATACTTTTATATATAATGTACACAAATATGTATTTTATTTTAATGTAGTTTTATATAGAAAATATATTTTCTGTAGCTTTGTTTATAAATTCTATGGTATGTATAAAAATATGTATATTAAAAATAAAAATTGAAAACCCTCAAGCAGGACTTTGAAGATGCTTTCTGCCAGGCACTGGCATGGAAGTAGATGAACTAACACAGGATGGCTTCCCCTGAATGTGACACAGCATCAGTTAATTCAGTTGTACAATGCTATATTTCCTTTTATTAGCTTTATTTTAATTATCACTGCATATCAAGGTAGTGTTACATACTGTGTGCAGTATACGCTGGATAGTTAGTAGCACATTCCTGAGCCATGATAGTCAGATGGGAACCTTTCCTTGCATTTGCAAGTATTAGAATTGCAATTTTCCAGGTGCCTTACGTTTATGTTTGCTTTGAATTTCACCTGCTGTTTTACTAGCCAACGCTGTAAACTCGTGTATTTTTTCATGGCCAGTCTTTGCATCTTGATGCTGGTTCATTTTCCTCTGTCAGAAAACTTTAACCTTCCTCTTCACTTGTTCTGCATCAATTGTGAATATAAGGAAAGACACTGGCCAAAAGCTGAACACAAGTGGTCAGGTTTTCCCACTGGAGGCCAGACAGGGTTCTGTGCCTTGGCCTATTTCATTCATTCAGGAGAGTGTGTTCCTTGTTATTCTCTAACTCAAACCAGCAGATTTGAACCTTTGTAGCAATCCAAATATTGTCAGCAAATGATTTTGTAATGAGCAACACTTGTGAGTTGTACCTGTGGTTCTGCTGAGTGTTTGCCTCTCCTGGAATAGATTTGTTTTGTTACTCTTCTCTCGATGAGATATCATGATATATTTCACTTACAAAAGCTGTGGGCAATTTAAAGCTTTGGAAAAGGATTTCCTGCAATTTTCTAGATGAGTTCATTCTTAATGTGCTTAGAACTTGATTAAAACTTCTGCAGAGAGTCTCAAAAATGCATTTATTATCTCTCTTTAAATATGTTTACATTTTTCAGTTGCACTCTTAGTAGTCCTCCTGGCAATTTTGTACGTGTGTAATGGAATATATTGTGTGTATACATTCAGAGCACTTTCTACCATTACCTGTACAAACATGAGTAGACATCTGTATCATTCTTGTAGCAGATGTGATCTTATTCCAACACTGACTGTTAGATTAATCTTTTGCCATGATTTCTAAACTGATATTACCAGCACTACTTTGTTTTAATTTATGGTATATCACTGTTTCACTGAGGTCTTGGAGGCATTTATCTGAGCGCTTCTGCTTTAAGGTCCTTCCTCTTGTGTTTTAGGATTGTTTAAAAGAGGTACTGGAGATTGTGGAGCTGGGCATTTCGGGAAGTAAATCCAAAAACAGTGAACAAGAAGTCAAATACAAAGGAGATAAGGAGCCAAACCCTGCATCTATGAGAGTGAAGGATGCTGCTGAAGCTACACTAACATGGTATGTAGTTTGTCAGAGCATGTTTACTGCTTAGCATGGCCTTGTCTGAGAGGGCTTTAATTAGGAGTTCCCAGCTGGTGGGAACTCTGCAAGAGAGTTCTGCAAGAGATTCTCTGTAGCAAGAGCATTTGACAAGTCAGGTGCTTCCTCTGTTCTGCCCTTCAGCCAGAGTTGTCCTGTGCTCTGCCTTAGCTGTCTTCCCCTCCTGTTAGAGGTGTTC